TTTGTATCGCATTGCCGTGGAGCAGTTTGCTATGGTGAATGAGGTACTCACCATTCGCAATGGAAGTCACAGTTGGGATACTGTCTTTGAGAGGGGTCCACAGGATTGGGAATTAGATGATTATGCGTTGTTTTTTACCGCTTTGCTTGAGGTGCACATTCAAGTTGGAGAGGGTGATCGTAGCAGATGGAGGTTGGCATGAAATGGTATATTCTCAGTTCGCTCTTATTTTAGATCCTTCTTAGAACTTGCGCAGAGCTCATTCCAATGAAAGAAGGTGTGGCAATGTAAATTGACTCAACGGGCGACTTTTTCATTGTTGACGGTTGTGAGGGGGCAAGTATTAACGGTGGATAATCTTCGAAGAATGGGTTTTTGTGTTACCGAGTGGTGTTATACGTGTAAGAAGGATGGGGAGACGATTGATCACTTGTTAATTTATTGCAATGGTGTTCGGTGGCTTTGGAACAGTATTCTAGCTTTCCAACAGTTGGATTGGGTGATGCCTAGGCGATTTGAAGACACGTTGAGGGCATTGACGAGGAAACTTCGCGATAAACATAGTAGGTTTGTATGGAATTTTATTCCCAGATGCCTTGTATGGTGCGTGTGGAGAGAAAGGAATAGTCGTTGTTTTGAAGATCAAACAAGAACAACAGAGCAGATTAGAGAATTGTTTTATCTGACTTTGTATAGTTGGTTTAATACTGCGGCTCCTAATCATATAGAAGGGTTGCCTAATTTCATGTCGTTTCTGTATTGTCTAAATTGATAATACATTCCCCATATATTATTTTTTGATTAATAAATTATCTGATTACTTATCAAAAAAAAAAATCATGATGGCAAGTGTGTTTAAAATAAATGTTTAGCTAAAAGAGACATTAGTTTCTAAGCCCATTTACATAGTATAACGAGACCCGTGACTGCGTCAACCACCATTAAACTAGCTGCGGCTTCCACCTAAGAAAAATGATTAATTTTCAATTGCGAAATGATGACAGAAGCCTCGCAGAAGCAATGCATTCACCAAAATTGCTGGAATTTAAATCCATGAAAAAAAAAAAGAATATAAATTCTTCACTTTCTTGTAATATAAATCCGATAAACACGCAATCAAAATTCAACTCAAATAAGAAAAGCATCACCACTCAAACAAGGCAAATGCAAGTTGACCACCAAAATTATGAAATTCGAGTAAAATTTAATAAAAAACCTCAAAATACCACTGTAATTAAACATGACTCTCATGACCAGAAGAGAAAAAACATTTCAAAACTGTAAATTTAGCAACTCAACAGGTTTAAGGTTTTCGTATGTATTGAATCAAAAGAAGGGTTTTCTATAAAACTTGAAAGAAATTAAAAAGAGTGAACTTACACAGTACACAGAGCTCTAAGAAGTAAGAACACTCGAGGATTAAATAAATGTAATTCCCAGTTTTCTCTGTTCTCTCACTCTACGGCTCTACCCAAGAGACGGAGATAGGAGGGGGAGGGGGGCACGTGTAATATATTTTTCACTTCAAAAAATTGAAATTTTTTTTCTATTAATAAATATTGACCAATAACTTATACTTTAAAATTCAACAATACAAAAATCTTAGACCTAAACAAAAGGTCCAATAGTTACTTAAATAAATAAATAGCTCAGATCCAATAGATGCGTGCCAACTATTGGCATTGACAAGAAAATCAACGAGTTATAATCTTGTTGATAGATTGATTCGTCTTGTCTTTGACTCTTTTAGTTTCAACAGCAACTACAAAACGTGCATTTTCAGCTATGAGTGTCATTAAGATAAGGTTGCGTAATATAATGGAAGATAATTTTTTGTCCAGTACTATGCCTGTATATATAGAGAAGGAAATTGTTGATATTTTTTCATTAGATTATCTTATTGACGAGTTTGAAGTGATAAGGACAAGAAGAGACCTATTTCAGATATTCAAGTCATCTCTACCATATGTTATATAGATATGCAACTTACTTTTTGTCTTTTTGATATTCATCTAACGTTCATGTTTTCAATTTGTACAACGTTAGACACGTAAATGGATATATTATTTTTGTATCGACAAACTGATTGTCTTTTTGATCGGTCAATCTAACTTGCCTATTTTGATACTCAAAATCTTCGTTTTCAATCCTCTTAGTTAAAAAAAAAAAAAATTTGGGAGGGCCGAGGAGACCTTATTTTCGCCCCCGTAAGATTGAAATCCTGGCTACGTCCCTGCTCTACCCATCGTTGAGTTAAACATTCGATAATTCACTATAGAGTATAAAAAGATGCCAATTTTTGGATTTTCTTTCTTGAAATAAACCATACAATGAAAGGTCCGACGTGATCCGATCGTGCCTGGCGGATTGGATAAGGAGATAAAAAAATTATTCGTTACCAGGCCACATGTCTAAATAATCAATTTATTTGTACTTAAAAACTTTTATTTTAAAATATACAACAAATATATTAATATATTAAGCAGTCTTCATTATTTTAAAAATATATTTTTATCTATCAAGTAAATTCAAAAATTTTTATTATTTTTTTAAATACATATTTTTCATCGAATTATTATTTCAAAATGCATTTTTTTTAATAAAAAATGGGGTTCAAAATAAAATAACAATGAACCATTCACCCTGTTTGGAGTGGCGAAGTAAGACTCAATGTTTGGTTTAGTTAATCCAAATGGAATTGAATATTATATAAAACCCATAAAATTAAAAAAAAATCCATATCATTATTACAAAATTTAAGTATGTTCAAATTCGTCATCTCTATCTATTACTTTTTTTTTTTTTTTCAAAAAATCATTCAAGATAAATTCAAACTCAATTTAAAAAGTTTCATTGACAATCACTAGACCATGTGCAAAAACTTGCAATATGGGGAGTTGATGACAAAAACTCCCTTGCATTAAGGAGGGGGAAGTCCCCTTTGCACTTGAGGTCACAACATTTGTCATCACACTCTTTTGTACATGCTCCCAAGCAGGTCACACATTTTTGTGCGGCCGGCATCGAATTGCCACCCTCGTTGGCCGTTGTCAAAGGATGGTATTTTTGGCTTTTTTCAGGTTAACCTACATTTTGACATTTTTTTTTTATATTCTATTTCTTAGTCAAAGGTCATTTTGGAATTACACAAGAATGAAAAGGTCATTTCCTCCTATTTCCTCATATATTTTTCAGTTTCGTCCGCAAAAAATTGAAATTTTTTTTTCATTAATAAATATTGACACAATAACTTACACTTTAAAATTCAACCATACAAAAATTTTAGACCTAAACAAAAAATCCAATAGTTACTTAAATAGATAAATAGCTCAGATCCAATAGACGCGTGTCAACCGTTGGCATTGACAAGAAAATCATTGAGTTATAATCTTGTTGATAGATTGATTCGTCTTATCTTGACTCTTTCAGTTTCAACAGCAACTACAGAACGTGCATTTTCAGCTATGAGTGTCATTAAAATAAGGTTGCGTAATATAATGGAAGATAATTTTTTGTCCAGTACCATGCTTGTGTATATAGAGAAGGAAATTGTTGATACTTTTTCATTAGTTTCTCTTATTGACGAGGACAAGAAGAGATCAATTTCAGATGTTCAAGCCATCTCTACCATCTGTTATATACATAGACAGTTTACTTTTTATCTTTTTGATATCCATCTGACGTTCATGTTTTCAATTTGTATAGTGTTAGACTCATAAATTTTTCCCCCATTTTTAATTACACATTCTTCTAAAAATCATTATTCAAAATTCTATTTTCTCCAAATAATGGTTGTCAAACAAAGGCTATGCATTTTATGGGATTTAGGATCTTTTAACCACACATTCTTTTAACATTTATTAAAATTAATTTTTTTATCTAAACGATACAACGGCTAAAAGTATAAAATAATGTTGCTTCAATACGTGACGCAACCGCTCTAATGCTCTTATTTCCTCCTTTCTACTCTCTCTCTATATTCATCTCTAGAATAATACAAATCGACATGTAACTCACCCACTCTAGTGCTCTTATTTTCTACTTTCCACTCTATATTCCTCTCTAGAATAATACATATCAATTGTGATCTATGGAGGAAAACAACGAAATCCAGTCACATCCTTCGCCCGCTTCCAATGGGAGAATCATCAAGGATGGTCCATCAAGCATTCGCCGACTCACCCAACAGGGTTTTGTGAGTATGCAAATTGGACGTACGACCTTTGGTGTCAACTATACAAAAGATTTAATTGCTTCTTTGGTATATTGAAAAACCCATATTATCNTACACGTAGCACAATCGAACATTCGAACTATTATTGGCTTCACTTATCTAGTGTAATGTGTGGTACACAATACTGGATATATATATATATCCAGTATTGTGTACCACACATTACACTAGATAAGTGAAGCCAATAATAGTTCGAATGTTCGATTGTGCTACGTGTAATGATTTATATAATGGTTTATATACTGAAATATAATTAGGCATAATTTCTTCAAACAAATAAAAAAAAAATTTCACCGCTCTCTTTTTAACACCACATCTGTATGTAAATCATCATATAACTCTATTAAATACAAGTAACATTATTCATAATAGTTTCCTCATTGGATAACATTATGTAGAAGTAGTGACTTTATTCCCATGTTCCGAAGGAACTGCTAAGTAATGAACCATCATCTATGAGATACAAATGGTTATTCTCAAGATGTAGTTCAATAAATCGAGTACATGTCCAATAATTAAATGACTTGTACCTGCATGAACGCGTACATTATTAAGCTAAACATGGATTATACTACAATTTACTTAACAGTACAAAATGATATGTTAATAACTCATTCATGATGGTAGTTATACCATAATGGGAAGATTATGTTTTGACTTATTTATGTTTAATTATAATTCTTGGTGTAGATTGACCTGTTCTTGTACCCTATTCACTGAACAATCAGATACAATGAATAAACACCAATGAATTGTGTATTATAAAATCATAAGATTAAAAATTCAAATACTTATTTATTCAGAAATCATTTTTTGACCTCATGATCTTAGCCGTCACTCTACGACGTGCTTCCGACATTCAAGAAATTATTTGGAGAATCCAATTAGAATCCACTGTCTTCACTTATAAAACACAGGCAAATCAAGAAATGCTCAGTAGACAGAAAAAAGATGGCTATTTCAGTGTCTAAGAGGAAATCTAAACTATCCAAAAGATTTCAAGAAAATGATCAAAGTTTCTTTTATTCACTTCTTGCAAAAGTTTTCTTTCGAATTCCTGGCGTCATTTTTCTGTTGATTCTCATCTATATATGGTCATCTTCGACTTCTATGATTTCTGGAAATGTTGTTCATTTGTGTGTATCGTCGAGGAAGCTGAATAATCTGTATTGCCTTTCGGCTGGTACTCAACCGAGTTTTGAGATCCCGGTTTCTCTTGTTAATGAAAGTCACATTTCCACGAGCAATGGTGAAGTTGGGAATGTTAATAAAGTTGCTGATTTTGAGGTAAAGAGTTCTATTTCTACTCAACCGAGTTTTGAGATCCCGGTTTCTCTTGGTAATGACAGTTACATTCCCGCGGGCGATGTTGAAGGTCGGAATGTACAAAAAGTTGTGGATTATGAGTTGAAGAGTTCAATTTCTGCTGTTAGAAATTACACTGACAGAGGTGGGAATGAAGCATTGACAGATGCTTACAAGGACGTGGAGGAACAAATACAAGTTCATCGATCATGGGCATCAGATTCAGACCACGAGTCATGCGATGGACGAGGGATTTATGTTTATGAATTGCCCCCGAAATTCAACAAAGACTTGCTCGCTCAATGCAGGGATATGATTCCTTGGATGGACTTCTGCAGATTTTTAAGCAACAAGGCTCTTGGAGAGCCTATACAGAAGCTCGGTAAGGGGTGGTATCACACACATCAGTACTCGTTGGAGCCTATATTTCATGCTCGGATTTTGAAGCATCCTTGCAGGGTATTTGATCCGAATGGAGCGAAGCTATTCTACGTGCCATACTATGGTGGACTAGACATCCTCAGATGGCATTTCAAGAATGTTACTGATGATGTTAAGGACTCATTGGGGTCGGACCTTGTGAGGTGGCTCAAGTCACAAGGGCCATGGTATCGAAACTTAGGTAAAGACCATGTTTTTGTTTTGGGAAAAATTTCATGGGATTTTCGAAGAAGTGAAAAATCTTCATGGGGTACTAGATTTTTAGAACTCGATGAAATGCAAAACCCGATAAAGCTCTTAATTGAACGACAACCTTGGCATATTAACGACATTGGATTACCTCATCCAACTTATTTCCATCCTCATACAGACGACGATATTGTCTCTTGGCAGTTAAAAATCATCAAATCAAATCGAAAAAGCCTAGTCAGTTTTGCTGGTGCAGCTAGGCCGGATTCTCCAAACAACATCAGATCAATCCTAATACAGCAGTGCATTTCAACATCAAATGGAGAATGCAAATTTCTGAATTATACTCCCGGAATATACGATCAACCCGAGTCCATAATCGAGCTCTTCACTGAATCCGAATTCTGCCTACAACCTCCAGGTGACAGTCCAACAAGAAAATCAGTATTCGACTCTCTTATATCGGGCTGCATTCCAGTACTCTTCAACCCCTTGACAGCATACTATCAGTATCCATGGCATTTGCCACAAGAAGTCGATAAATATTCCATCTTTATCGACGAAAATGAGTTAAGAAATAAAAGTGTTAATGTGGTTGAAAGGCTTATGAGAATTCCTTCAAGGGTAAGGGAGAATATGAGGAGATATATTGTTTATGAACTGTTGCCTGGCCTAGTTTATGGAGATTCAAATTCAAAGTTTGACAAGTTTCAAGATGCATTTTCCATAACAGTAAATAATCTGCTTCAGAGGTTGAAAAGATTGAATGAATTATAAAAGAAGTGGACAAAAAGTGTTCTTTTTGTTTATATTACTATCATTTTCACAAATGTGACTTTCATCATTTGTATATATTATTAAGGCATTGTTTGAATTATTTATCAAGTGATGGATTAATCATGTAATTAGTTTAATAATTGAAAAGATTCCATGCATAATTTTGGATTTATTTGTTCCTTTTCTTTTACAAGTATAGTTGGGATTTTCTTTCTTGACTCGTCCACGTGAGTTCGTACTAATAGATTCCTCAAGAAATAAAATTGAGGAAAAGACCGTACGAAAGTGTTCGTCTCGGCTCGTTAATCAACCTCCTCGTCTTCTATTTTATTTATTATCTTTATATGTCAATTGTCGATCAATTCAAACATGATATAATCAATTTAAGAAATAAAGTATTGAAATTTGTTACGTAGCAAACTTGCCCGTGAACTAGCTCGAGCATGGCTATCAATAGGGATTTTCCGGTATGAGGCTCTTGGGTTCATTCTGTTAAACAATCCAAAGAGAAAAAGAAAAAAAGGCTAGAGTTTTATTGATTCTGCATAATGTAATTTAATAATGAAAACTTAGATACAAAGAGACTATATATAGTTTAAAATAAAGAAAACTTAAAAAACTATTATACCCTTAATAAACAATAGAAACAAAATAATCATATATGTCTTAACACGAGACTGTCTTTGAAAGATCTCAACCGTAAAGACTCCTGAGAAGTGTGAACATCCAAGCCTCACGCGTGTGGACATGGTACCCACACGTGTCATAGCCTTATCTTGCCACGCTTAATGGTAGCCTATTTAATTATTTATAATAATCGTGCCCCTGAGGGGAAAAGGTTATAAATTTAGATCAATTTTTGTTTAACCTCTCCATGCTTGCTTCTTCAACTCGTCCTCTGATCAATGCAAAATTGATCAAACCAAATCGATTTTCTTCATTTCTAAAGCGAACCCACTTCACTTCCCCCGAAATTCGATCGATTTCCTTGCCTACTACAACAAGATATTTGAATCATTCGGCTTTTGTGGGTATTAATTCAAGCAAGTCTCTGTTTTCGAGTCTGAGATTGGATCGCAAAATGGCCAGCCAATCTTCCAAGCCACAATCGGTTCATGAATTCACCGTCAAGGTTCTACTCTTTTACTCTCTACATATTAAGATGAATCATGTACGGACCGTCCATTGGTTTGATAATTGTTTTTATTTTATTTCATAGTTGTGGATAAGTGGATTTTTATATTTGTTTCTGAGTTTCATTTGTATAGATGATGATTTGATTGGAGGCGATTCTTTTTTATGTGATGCAGCGGTAAAAAAATGAACTTAATGAGACAAAAGACCAAGTATTCAGCGTTGGCGGGTGGTAAATTAAACAATAAGGATACACGGTTCAGTATTGATTTGAACAAGTTCATGTTTTAGGGAGCTTCGTTTCATATCATTCTACTTGGACTTCTGGCCGGGCCAGACTAGGGTCCCCCCAAGCCTAGATTTACACCTCTACATGCTAATGGATAGAAATTATAATGATATAAATTTAACCCATCTAAAACTGAGTTTGGTTTATTTATCGAATCTCTAGCTGAACCTTCCTCGGCTGCACATGTGCGAAAATCATTCCATGGTGTCTTTTTCTCATAATTGGATACGACATTCTAGTAATGTAGTGATATGGCGTTCTAAAACTGAGTGATTGCAGGATGCTAAGGGAAATGATGTTAACTTGGGCATTTACAAGGGAAAGGTCTTGCTGATAGTCAATGTTGCATCACAGTGGTACGCGCTGGCTCCTCTGAACACTCGTTTTGCTTCGAAGAATTTTTTACACGAAAGACATTAATTCTAACTTTTTTAGTGTGAAGTTAGTATTTTGTGTAACATAGATTTTGAACTACTTAAACACCTATGTAGTTTACCATTGGACATGATTACATGTCTTGCTTGATTACAAAAAGAATGTGAATGCGGCTTTTCAAGCATGTCACGGGACTGTATGTTGCATGTTTATGATTGTGCTTATGATATAGGTAGATGTCTTTGTACGGTTATGCTTGTGGTATTTTGGAAATATTTAATCAAGAGTTATATTGTTTTGACATGACTTTTTGAAATGGTTAAAGCCTAAGGCAAAAAGTTATTTTCAGATTAGCATGGTACTTAAATAAATTATTGTGTTGCGCATTTCTCAATTTAATTTTTCAATTTTACCTTGGTAATTGATTGCGGAGATGATCCTTGTAGGTTGGCCGAAGTTTATCTGATAGTCCCCTTGCGGGACAATCTCCACATTCTGACATTTCCCTTAATGCTTATATTTTATTGTTCTTAATAATGAATTATTAAGTCAGTTTTTGCATTTGCTCGAGTGTACTTTGGCTCTCATTTCCTAAAAGAAATTAGCAATCTTATTTTTATCAATCATGCTACATTGACAACTTGATTAACATCTTGGATGACAAAATTTCTACACGGCATCAACAATGTCATCCAAACATTTTTTTACTCATCTTCTATCAACAAAGATGTTAAAAATCTGGCAACAAAGCTTAATTCTATGTTTATCTGCTGCAGCGGTCTGACCAATTCAAACTACACAGAGTTGACAGATTTATATCAGAAGTACAAGGATCAAGGTTTGATTTAGTTACTGTCTATCGCTTTTGACATTACAGTTGTTCAGGCCTAGCAAAGATTTTTTTCTTGTTTTGTTGCTCGTGTAAATTTCATTTTTATGCAGCTATACTCGATATTTTCTATCCTTCCATTTTCCCTATGTTCAACATAAATATCAGGTTGAAAATCTCCATTTTGACAGACTATCAGTTCTTGCATTAACTTCAAAAGATAAATCAATTAAGTACAAATGGTGTAAAGCTCCCTTCGTGTTATAGATTTCCTGTATGTCCTATATTGTTATTCGTAGTTTGCCTGTTGCTCAGGTTTAGAGATACTGGCATTTCCATGCAATCAGTTTGGCTCACAAGAGCCTGGCTCCAATGAAGAAATTCAACAGTTTGCTTGCACCCGCTTTAAGGCTGAGTATCCCATATTTGACAAGGTAGGAATTCTTACGAGTTCCTTCTAACCTTATTCTTAACAAACCCTTTCTCCAAATAAAATAATAAAAGAAAAATTGATGTCCACTTCGTTAAGAGTAGGCTCTTCGACCTTCTGTTTGCATAAATTTGTCCACGGAAATTTGAACATTTATATCTCAGTGATCAGAGAAATTCTGAAAAGTGGAGTGATGGGAATTGTCATGACTACTTAAACAACATTCCATTTTATTGATTCAGGTGGATGTAAATGGTTCCAATTCTGCTCCAATATACAACTTTCTGAAGTCAAGCAAGGGTAGCCTCTTTGGAGATAATATAAAATGGAACTTTGCCAAATTCCTCATTGACAAAGAAGGGCACGTTGTTGATCGTTATGCTCCCACCACATCTCCTCTTAGCATGGAGGTAACCCATCTTTAGTGCTACGCGGTAATCTCTGATGAATAATATGATAATGGGTGTCTCATAAATGTTACGCTATTTCATCTTTGCAGAAGGATATAAAGAAGCTGCTGGAGAAAGCTTAAGCAATGTAGTGGTCTAGTTCGTCTGTTCAGCTACTAAAGGTCATGGCGTATTTGCAACAATAAACTGAACTTTATTTTCAATAAATTTTGGGGCAGCTATATGAATTATGGATCACCTGTATGGCTTCACTTGTATCACTACTTTTTCGTGTATTTGCAACAATAAACTGAACTTTATTTTCAATAAATTTGGGCCAGCTATATGAAATATTGGTCGCTTGTATATTGCTCGTGTCACTACTTTTCGAATCCTATTATTTTCATAACATCAAGAAGAAAAATTCATCAAATATTGCATCACTACATGAATTCCTTTTTATAAAAAAAAAAAAACTTATTTCATCTTTTTTGGTTATTGTTAAAATTTTAGGGAACGAATCGAGAACCAATGGGTTTGAATCGGATCTAGACCAAGAATCGAAACTATTTTTTTTTTAATTGAATTAATTAAATTATTTTATTTTTTTCCAAACAAATTAGTAAATTAATTAAATAAATCAAATTATTTCATAATTTTAATTTTAAAGTCGAAATCATTTTTAAAGCATATTAGTCCATTTAATTTGCTCATGACTACATAATCTTTCTATAAATATTAAAAAATTTAATTATGGCACGGAATCAAACTCAAACGGTTCCATTTATTAAATACCCGAAAGTTTTGAGTTGATTCGATTCTCTTCAGAATCGAATCGAACCGACCCACGGACAGCCCTAACTACATGAATTCCTTTTTGTATCACTCCACTAAGTTCAGTACAAAATGTCATGCAATGTAACTAAATCTTTTAACCGCAAATAATAAAGTAATCCTATTTAACACCACGTGTTGTCACTCAGGCTGGTGCTTAATACAGCACATGCTAGATAGCATTATTCCGACTCATTGGTTAATCAATTTAAAAATAAAAAGTAACAAGTTCACCAGAGGCCAGAGCAATTAAATTTTCCATCAGCATTACATTTTCCATCAGCATTACATTAAATTTTCAAGTTAAATTAAAGGTTTCCGGTTATACAAGAAACAGCTCAATTTAATTTCAAGAAAAAACTAAACTTACTACAAATATAGTTCCACTAACAACCGAAATCATCTACTACTGCTACTCAAGAACCAAGAAGAGTGTTTCATTACATATGCGTTAGCACGACCCTCCATCTACTCGAGGGGGTTTGATCTGGCGGTGTTTCATTTACAACAACACATTCACATACACAACTTCCATGCGTCTAATGTAGTTGGTTTCACCCGCGCATTAAATCAATATCAGATTGAGGATTTTTCACATCCGGCCGTGAACCTGATGGCCAAGTACCGGTTGCAGAGTTAGAAGCGTAGTTTTGACTGGAAGCAGCACTAACTGGTGTTAACGATTTATCAACAGACTGGTTAGCTGGATTTATTTCATCTTTTGGTTCGAACTCTGTTTGGCTCTTGGCCTTAGAACTACCATACACAAAGCTGCACACAACTAACTGCAGAATATTCATAACGCACTCATCAATACAGCATAAAGAAAGCAGAAGACGCCAAACGTGCATAGTGCAAAAGAAGCACACTTTTTTAAGTTAGATAAATCTATTTGTACATAATACCCCCTACCGAATTGTTCACCCCCTCACATGCACGAGGGCCCTGCGTGAATAAAAAAATCCCAAGATGTCGTCCACACCCCCTTATTGTGAGTAGTCGGTAAGGGATTATGTAAAAATATTCAGTACATGTAGCATGACCCTATTAAGTTTTGGTGCCTTGAAGAGTAATTCCTTTGGAAACTAAGGGCTTGTTTGGATAGCTTCTGTTTCTGCTTTTGATTTTTGTATAAGTCAGCCTCCTATGAAAACTCTTACAATCAGACAAAACACTTTCAGAATCTCAGAAGCAACTTTTGGCTATTCAAAATACTGCCAAACGGGCTCTAAATTTCTCTGAGATTGTTAAGCGTCATAGATATTTTTGATTCTGTCATCAGATCAGTTGATAGAGCATGTAAAATCTTGATTAAAAATTTCTTTGATGCTGATTTTGCTCAAACTTGAGGTTTAACCAGTAGATACCTTTCCATTATGAAACATGTTGACTCGATGTATTTAGAAAGAGCATAAAGAACAAGTGGGTAAGAGCATATGGTCTCTCACTCCGTAGGAGGGAAATCTAACCCAAGGACAGCAAAAATAGGGAATTGCACCTTACAGAGAAAAAGCAATCAATTACGTACCTGAACTGGGCTTGCTGCTATGAGCCTACCACCTATAGCACCCCCAAAAATATGCCCATCGGGACCACAAACTGAAATACTTATACCACCTGTCCGATTGCAAGGACCATCACCTTCAGCAACCAAGTAAGAACCTGACAAACATAGTATCTCAAAACGGCCCTGAAAGAAAGCAACAAATTATACAAGTTCACATTACTGAAGGCAAAATGTTTTTCATTAGAAAAGACATCACATCAATTCCATCTTAAATATTATTTAGTGTAAGGTATAGATCAGAAAAAAGGATTTCAATTAAGTTTAGCAATCACTCATTCTAGTTTTCAAGCACAAAGGAACATACAGAACGGTTAATAACCATGCCATTACAAATTAGGCCACAACTTTTATCTATTTGCTTGGATATCCTATTCTTGCATAGCCATTAAGTAAATTCATAAAATCATGGAGCTTACTTTAATTAAATCTTTACTAAAGCAGGATACAGAACTTCTAGTGCGGTTAGATATATTTTAACTAGCCTCATTGAAGTGCATAAATCAACATTGATAAAAATGTCAACAGTTTCAACATTGATGTGCATAATCCATACAAAGAGAAATAATATTCAATTCAAAATCTTAGTGTTGAATAGAATGGGCTGAAGTATTAATCTGGAGAAACATCTAAGAAAACAAAGTATTCCCCAAGGCTGCATATAGTTTAAATACATGTGAATACAATTAAGTTCTCAATGCACTTTGTAATCTAAGGAATCTTAAAAGTGTCCAGGTGAAATATAAGCTTTAACCCGACAGCCATGGCCTATCTCAGAAGAAATTTTTCAATATAATATTGAAGTTTGAGAGATAGAACTGTTTTTACTCTTGCATTCCCAACTTTAATGCAAGTAATAGTGTGCAGGCTCTGTTCGTCCTTTATAAATGAGAACCTTTATGTACAATGAAGCATGAGATCAAACTGTCAAAATCTTCTATAATACGATTCATGATGGTCGGACAGTTAGAGAGGGTAAAAAGTGAAATGCATTATGAATCAAAAGATGCACATAATCTTCACTATGCTGTTTATTTCTCAGGGTTGGCAGTCGTTCTAATTAATTTCCCACATGTAAATAAGTCAGATATCAGTTGTAGTCAACATCAAAGTTCCCACAGAGATCACTGTCAGAGAGAGACTAAAAATAGTGAATCTACAAAAATCACACCATCATGTCTTAAGCATGTTTCAAAATATTTACCACGGTCTGAAGTACCGAGACAGTAATGAAAGTAGATGCTTAGGTACTTATGAAATGCTCTCTAATACATTTCCTCTTTTTTCAAAACCGAGACAAATGAGATTGACATAGCAAGGATCATATGATCAATTTTTCTCTTAGAAGAAACATGGGCTAGCTTGCATGCATGACACAGTGATTGGACCATGAAGAAATAATTTGAACAAACAAGTTATTGGATACTCTACAAAATAGACATCTAATAAAAGCAAGATTTATTTAGCATTAAAACTATAATAAGAACTATTGGAAGATTAAATAATTAAACCATTCAGAAATTGAAGACAATCATTTCAACTAAACTTGTTTCTCAAAAACATTTATCTCTTTATAAGTTTTAGTAATCCCAGCTGAAGCATCCATACTAAACCAGGTGATTTAATAAAAAATCATACTTTCCCTCACCCATAGCTCCATTGCCAAAGCGGAGAAAATTGAGCATGAAATCAAGCTGCAAGTTAACTCCATAATTTCCTAACCATAATTATTTCCCATTTTTCAAAATCCTTCCAAACTTCATATACAACACAATTTATTAAATTTGGAGGTACACAGATTCTTTCACAAACTCTGAAAGCTTTAACAAGGGTGAAAAATAATTCAGTACCAAGAAAATTAGGTTCCAATTGAAGACTAGCTCTTCATTCTGTATCACCAAAAACTCGTGCAAAACCAAGAAAAACAACAATATCTTTTATTGTTGGAAAATAATAGCAAACCATAGTATATTAGGCATTGATTCATTGGATATGCTTTAACATTTAGAATTTCCTTATATAGTGAGTTTACACACAATATTTAAAAGGATGTGGTCAAACATATCGAAGGACATCACCTATCAGGCTATACCACATCACATAACAATCTACAAGTTTGATGTCTGTCCTAACATTGAAAAGCTATTTTCTGGATTTAAGTGCATAGGATCAGGAGTGCTTCAACCTCATACATGACAGTGCCACCAGAAGTTGTAGGATGTCGTAGAGTTACTGTGGAAACTGATCCATTAGCTGATAAGATGCATAAAGCTCTTGGTCTCTGTTGTGCAAATGCCAATACTTTGGCTGCAATATCCTGCAGCAGACAGCCATAATTACTTATCTTACCAAAGTATGTCGGTGATGTGCAGTCACAATAGCACATGATATATACACAAACTAGAGCTTTGCAAATCGAGTGCATTAGATGTTCAATATACAAATAATCCGTGAACTCTTGAAACCATGTCATCAAGCATATTATAAATATGCTTCGGAAAATATTTTCAACATTGAAAGAATACAAGTTTTATATCAGATCGAACAGCTAAGCAGCTATCTTAATCATATTTTTTCAGGTGTTATATATAACTCAAACAAAGCCTTCGTGGGGTCAGACAAAAAAATGTCTCGAGTGGTTACTTTAGTAATGCTCAAAAGAAGGCACGGTTGCAACATACCTCTTCAATTCCAATGTGTAGGACATGAGGTGTAAAAGCTAGTCCAGCTGAGCTGTTCATCCATTCACCTGGCCAAAGAAATTATATAAAGAACATAATTTTCTTAGACCATAAAAGTTTAATAGATATGCATTCAAATCTGGAGAGAGAGCAGTGAACAGTGAACTAGACTGGTTAAATGATTACTACCATATTTTCATTGAATTGAGATCTGGTTCTATACCCCTCCTAAGTTTGTATTTTGAACAGTGAACTAGACAGGTCAAATGCTTATACTACATTATTTTTATTGGATGGAGATCTAGTTCTCTACCCCCTCCTAAGTTTGTACTTTGTTTATTTCTTGTCAGTAGAAATAACTCCACCCACCGCCCAATTAAATGTTTGATAAGGAGGGGAAAAAACACCCGAACCTGGAAGCTTAATAAAGCACTAATAACAATTAACCTAAATTATCCAGGAAAAAATTCCCTATGTCTCACAAACACGTGGTACCTTTCAGGTAAGTAGCAACGAAGTAAAGTTTTACATTTAACATTGAGAATTCATTAGAAGTTATAACATCAAAATGCATTAAACCCTCTTTATTTTCATTCATATTTTTTTGGCCAGAGGTGTTCTTACTTTGCAGACAATAAAGCACTAAAGAGAGACTGTTTTTGATTAATAAGGAAGAAAAGAAGTTGACTTAATCTAGCACATACAATACCGAATGAAACAGTGTGATGAACCACAATAAATTTAGAAAATTTACCAAGGGGGGCAAGTTGCTGCTTCCATCCACTCCCTGGAGGTCTCCCTCTACGCGGTTTTTCCCCGGGTGTGATCACCCCCGAGGAAGGCGTGGTAGTAGACAATGCTAAAGACATATTAGCTCCATCAGGACCATATTTCCTAGGCCTACCCCTCTTTTTCTTCCCTGAATCAGAACCAGGAGTCACACTAGAGGTTGCAGCGGTGCTCGTGGCACGAGGAAAAGTGGGTGATGGATTCTCAACGTGGAATGCTGAACCACTCACAGAACCACCACTAACCCCTGCATTAGGCTGCAGTGAGAAGGTGGGAACTGAGGAGTTCTTAAAACCAGGAGGGGTATGGAACCCACCAGTCTGTGGCATGCCCGAACCGCCACCAGCCGGAGCATTAGGACCGGTCACTGAACCACCAGACCCACCAATGCTTCCTCTATTGAGGTAATATGAAGCTGAACCGTGTAATGCCATGCCTTCCCTTCCATCCATTCATTTACTGGGTAAAATTCCACACTAAAGATTCAATTTTTATGAACTATATTACTGTAGAATCACAGCCTTCTAAAGCGTTTAGCCGAAATCTGAAAATACCAAACTGAACCGCTAAAGAAATTAGAATAAAAACCTCAATGAACAATAAATTGATACTACTAAACAGTCTAAACCAGGAAAAAAATGAATATTTTAACACGGGTTTTTGATCAATTACAGAAAAAGTAAATAAATTGAAGAAACAAAAAAAAAAACCCCACATTAAAGTAGAATCTTGAACCTGATGAATTGTACAGAGCCCACATTAAAGCTTATTCTGAAAATGCAGAAAATCCAGAGTTGCTCAGACTTTTACACTTCTTGAACCACGTGAAAGCAAATAAAAAAAAAGTGTAAAAAGTATATGAAACCCTAGATTTGAAGAGTAACTAAGAAAGAGTATTGGAGGTAGCAGAAGGGGGACTCAGTCAAGACAAAAGTGTGATGAAATGGAAAAATTTGAGCTTTTGTTATGTTTGAGGGTTTGAAGGGGGTTTAGTGAAGTGGGTGTTACAACTTGCGAGGACTTTTATTAAAACAGATAAGTACCAACTATGTCCTTGTGTCCTTATCACCAGAAGTAATTCAGTTGTACTGAATTATTTTTGAAAAAATTATTGTTGGGAGTCTTCCACTGTATTCAAAATGTATAATTAGGTTATCGGATTTTTTGGATAGCATCTTTAACGTGAATCCTGAATAGATATTTGACTATTCGACGTTTAAAAAGTTATATGACATTTACATAATTTTCAGGAAACTCACTTTGCCCCCGTTTGGCTCTCATTATTTGAAATTTTAATGGTTGAAATAGTATTTTTTTGAAAAATGTGTAATTAAAAAAAATTGAAATTACATGTAATATTATTTTATTGGAGAACGTGTATTTGATAAGAAAATAAAGAAAAATAAATTATAATTTTAAAGAGGGCCAAACATGGTATTTATTATGGGATAGTAAACAATTAATTTTCATAAAATATATAAAATGGAAAGAAAGAGGCAAAAACAACAAAGAGAAGCAAACATAACCTCCAAGTGATCGCCTTGTCATCCCCCAACAAAATTTGAAGGTTTGGGACTCAATGTGACAAAATAAAAGAGACGTCCTAGCTACAATTGGGAAAAGCGCTGAATTATTTCAATCAGTAATCTTTGACCTTTGTTTTGGATGTTAGGGGAGGATTCTAGGTCGACAATTCAATAAAATAATTTGGTCGACAATTCACGTGAAGTCCAACATTTTTCAATAAAATAATATTATACGTAAATTAAAAAAATTATTTATTTTTAATCACATATTCTCCAAAAATCACTATTAAGACACTGTTTGGTACACATTATTTTTTTCATTCTCATTCTTCTACTCATTTTCAACCATACATTCTTCAATAAAATAATATTTTCCATCACATCAATAACTTTTTCTTCATTTTTAACCACACACTCTCCATCAATCTA